GATGCAGAGGGGCACCCCGGGGAGGCCTCGCCCAGCACAGCGGCCACAGCACAGGGCCGCAGCACCGCCTGCTCTCGGAGTGAGCGGGAGAGGCAGGGAGGAAGAAGCCTCTGCCTCACCCCAGCTGCAGGACTCGGAGGACCCCACCTAAAGGTGCACAGAGCTCTGGTCCCAAGCCAGGGCTTCCTGTCCATGTCCCGAGGGTGACGGTCCCAGGTGCGGCACAGCCTTTGTTAGGGCTCTGGGCCTCTGCCCTACACCCCACCCGCAGAGTTGGCCAGCAAGGCTGTTAGAGGAGATGGCTCCTCCTGGTGTCTCTGAGAGCTTCCCAAGGCCCAGCAACCCCAGAAGGCCAGGGGACGGCTGTGGGCCCTCCAGCCTGCAGCAGGAGGGTCAGCACTGTAGGGGAGATGGGGAGACCAGGCTCCATCGCTTGACATCTGGGCGCAGACCTGGCTTTTGCCCGGTGGCCCCTGACTCCCGGTGAAGAGCGCTGTGGTGGGCAGGGCCACACTGTGCCCTCAGTCAGGGCAGTGGGCTCCAGGGGCCCTGGGGCCTCCATCAGCTCCTGAGCAGCACCCGCACTCACGTCAATGGAGCAGCCGAGCAGTGAGCCCTTCTCCAGCGCCTTCTGGATGATCCTGAACAGGTTGGGTGGCGGCTTCTGCAGCTCATACCACTCCGCAATGCCTCCGGTGAAGTCCTCGAAGCCCTCGGTGGTGGCACCACCCGACAGCGCTTCATAGCAGCCGTTGATCCTGGGGGACAGGGCTGCTGCCGAGGTGCCTTCACCCCAGTGCTGCCCATGCCCCCGGCCTGTGTGTTGGTCACTGTGGGTGCCCTGCTCCCCCTGGGCGGCCTCCCTGCTCAGCATCCCTGAGCTCGCCGATCTGTGCTGACCCCTGGCAGGTCCTCGGGACCTTCTAGGTCCGTGGGGTTTGCCCCACGCCCTCCTGGTGCAGGCCCAGTCCGCTCAGCAGGTGCTGGGCATTTAGGGCTCAGAGCCACTGGGTGAGGGGTATGGCTGCCACTCACCAGGGCCGCGTACAGCCCGCACCCTGTGTGCGCAACCTGAAGCTCAGGTCTCGGCAGCACAGTGGGACTACCAGGCTTCTATGTGGAAGTCCTCGCATAGCCGGGCACTGCCAACATGCCCCGATTTGGGCAGTCTGGGTGGGCGGCACTCACTTGGCGTAGGCCTTCTCCAGCAGCGCGCTCCAGAACTCCGAGCCCTCGGCCGAGTGCAGGAACAGCAGCTCCCCATCCTTGGTGGGCAGCCTGTCGTCCACCACCACCTCCACCCACTCGCCATACTGCCAGAACTGTGGGCGGGGACGGGCGGTCACTCGGGGACCCCAGCCCGTCCTGCAGCGCCTGTGCCACAGAGTGGCAAGGACAGACAGAGTGCTCCCACCCAGTCCACCCTCATCTCTGGAAGACATGGCTCCCTCCCCAGCCTGAGAGGGGAGCAGCTGGGAAGTTTCTCTGAGCCTCAGACATGACCCCAGCTTTCCACGTGGGAATCCCTCCTCAGCTGCATGTCCTGTGTCCCTGCCCCCCCACATCCCTGCTCTGCCCCCCATGTTGCATGTAGGCCGTGAGCTCCCTATGGTCTTGATGTCATCCCAGAGCAGCGCCAGGCCTGTGCCCCAAACTCCGGGACAGAGAGCCGGGCCTGGGTACCTGGAAGTGGAAGATGCCAGCGTAGTTCTCCTGGAAACTCTGGTCCAGGGGCACGACACGGGCCAGGACCTCTTCATTCAAGGTGAGGGAGGCGATGGCGGCCAACAGCCAGCAGTCACCTGCAGACAGTCAGGGCGCGGTCATGGGCCATCCCTGGAGGGCAGCAGCTGTGCCCGCCTCAGGGGCTACAAGCCTGAGGTGACTGTGAGCAGAGGGGCAGCCTCTCCACTCTTCAGGGTGGGGACTTGCTATGCGCTGGCGGCCGGCAGAGGAGGAAGGCCTCCCAGGTCACGGCACCAGCACTGCACCTGGGCCTGGGGCTGCACCAGAGGAAGCGGTGCTGGGGAGGCTCGAAGCGGGAAGGAGGTGCCAGGGCGGCCGCATGTCAGTGAGGTCCCCATCAGGTCACAGGGCCCGGGCGGACCACAGGGATGTGGCAGGGACAGCACACAGGGCCCACACAAGGCTTGGCCTCAGCTCCAGTCACTGCACTGGCTGCTGTGGGGCCCGTGAGGCATTCACGGCACCCCGAGGAAGTGCTCGCTCCTAACCTCTTGGAGCCGGTGCCCGTGATGAGAAAGCCTGGTTCACACACTGGCTCCTGTCATCTGCGATCCACAGGCATGCGGGGCCTCAGTCCTGGGCTCCCTCCCACTGACAGCCTGCGCCCTGAGGCTCCGAGGGAGACCTGTCCAGCCCGCGCCTCCTCCAGGGCTGCCCACTCCGCTCGCCATCTTGGCGTCCTTCCCTTCTGCTCCCCAGCATGGGGCCTGCCTCTCCACGTGGACCGCAGGTGCGTCCGCAGGCTGGTCAGCTGCTCTGTGACCTTGGAGGCCCTGGAGACCCCTTGCTCCTAGACACTGCCACTCAGCTGGGGCTTGAGTCAGATTCACAGGCTTCGGCCTCCAGAGTCTGCAGGACACCTGATCTGGCAACGGTGTATTTGTTCTGGGCTGTCCTGGCTCTGTTCACCGTATAACATGGGGAGAAGCTGCTGGGCAGAGAGGGCCCAGCCTTCCTGGTGGTGTTTGCCTTCTGTCTCTCAGGGTCCCTCATATCTCCAGCTGGACACCTGGCTGGGCCCATGCCTCCCCCTGCCACCTCACATCCGAGCTGCAGCCACTTCCTGTCCACCCGGAGCAGGCTCGGGCCGAGGAGTGGGTGCTGCAGACCAGGCTGGGGTAGGATGGCTCCATGCTCATCTCTGAGCTCCAGAGCAGTGTCCCTGACAGCACAGGCCCTCCGGGTGGCGCTGTGCATGACCCACCCCCAGGTCTGATCACTGAGAAGCCATGAGATGGGTCAGGCCAGCTTGGGCAAACGGAAGTTTCCATGCTCACTCCCAGGCCCCTGGGATCCCGAGTCCTCCCACTGATGCCTTGGGCCCTGGAGATGCTGGGCTGCTTGGCGAGGGGCACTGCAGGGCACAGCCGGACCTGGGGATGGCGAGTTCTCTTAGGGCTCTGGGCATCAGCTCTGAATGCAGGGTGCAAGTGTCTCTCCAGCCAGCCCCCACCTCCTGGCACTCTTTCCCGCTTCTCTGCAGGCCGCAGTTGCTCTGCACGGTTGGCTCCATCAGGGCTTGTGTTTCTCCAACACTCAGATGCCTGGCCTGTGCCATCTAGTGCCCTAGTGAGAGCAGAGATGGGCCCGTGGCCCTGGGCAGGACGTCCACCTTCAGCCGGGGCCACTGGGCACACTCGCAAGGAGAGGCAGCCGGTACGGTCCCTGCAGCAGGCTGGTGGTGGGGTTGCTCCTTTACTGAACAGCCAGGCCTGGCCAAGGGGTGGGGACCCCTGCTCTGCTCTCTTCCCAGAGGAGCCCACAGGTCAGGTTGCAGGTACCTGCCCTCCTGCCACAAGCCCGCAGTTCCTCCAGCCCCGGGGTCTGAGTGTCACCCACACCAGACACCAGATGTGGCTACAGACGCCCATGGGAGGGGCCCTGGGTTGAAACACAGCGGACTCTGGGGGCAGATGGGCGAGGCGGGCGCCCTGTCAAAGGCAGCCCAGGGTCATGAGCCATACTGAGATGCCTGCCTCCCAGATCCCCCTGGGGAGCTCTCACTCAAGCTGGCCTGCCCCGGCACTAGGAGGTATCTGCCTGCCTGCTCCTCCTGGGTCCTCAAAGCCCGGGCTATTGTCCACCCCCTGGCCCCTGGGGCTGCTGCTCCCCAGCCAGTCCCTCCCTTCCTGAGCGGCTTCCTCCCAGCCTGCCTGCCCTGTCCTGGGCTCCACTGTGTCTGTCACATGCAGGCCACTGGGCCTGGACACTGAGTGCAGAGCCAGTGGTCCCTCTGGGCCCAGCGCTGGCTACCGGAAACTGAGCACTAGTTCTTCAGTGCTGGGCTCTCCGCAGGGTACAGCTGCATGGTGCCTGCTCCACTCTCCCCTTGTGACACTGAGGCAGAAGGGGCCGATGGGGCTGCCCCTTCTCCCTCAGTCTACAGCAGTGGGCCTCAGTTTCCCTCTGTGCCCTGGCTGTGGCCTCCCAGGAAACCTGTGCCGGCTTCCGGCCTGTTGTTTGTCCACAGCCGTCCAGGGACAACGCCCTGCCTGGCACCACCTCCTTGTCCACTTCCCAGCCTGGTATTTGCAGAGCAGGTATGAGGAGAGGCTCCTCGTGAAAGGACTCCCTGTCCCCGCCAGGCTGCCCTCCAGGTGTCCTTGGCCACGCAGCTCCCACAGGGACCCTGGCAGCACAGCTCAGGGCAGGCCCACTGCCCCCACCCCGCCCCGCCCCGCCCCGAGGATGGCCCCCAGGCCCGAGAACAGCTCCTTCAGTGCAGGCCCTGGCTGGGGTGGGAAACCCATCGGGTCCACAGTAAGTTTCCAGAGCCAAGGGAGCCGCTGCACGGTCAGGGTTGGCTCTGAGCTGGCCATGGCCTTGTGGTGCCTGCAGCCACTGGAGGCTCCTCCTGGGCTCTGGGGTGATAGTTGTTTCCCTTTCCTTCCCTTCTGCTGTGACTCCTCCCTATACACAGGACAGTGACACAAGGAGCAGCCCCAGGGCTCGGGGATGCACGTGGGGCCCCGGTCACCTGCAGCACAGAGGCCTGGTGACACCTCCCAGGGAAGGGCAGGACAGTGGCCTATGTCACCGTCACAGCCTGGCACAGCAAAGGGAGTGTAAGCTCGGGGAAGACACACACACACACACCCATAGCACAGAGGTGCTCCGAGTGCAGCTGGTCACCCTGGAACAGAGAGAGCTCAGGCCATCGGGCCGGTGCTGGCCATCCCACCATGGACACAGGGGTGGTGGCCCCGGCGTCCCAGCTCTGTGCCTGGGCATCTCAAGTCTCACACACACCATGGACAGCAAGACACGACTGCTAATGGGCAGCACCCACGGGACACCAGTGTTGGGTGCCAGGGCAATGGGGATCTGTGCTGAGCCCCAAAGTCCTGATTTGTGGGTGCACAGGCACAAGCCTGCACAGCTCAGACGCCCCAGCAGTGTAGCCCCCGCCTGCCCGCGCTGGGGCTCCTTCTGTGCCATCTTCAGCCTCCCACAGCGTCCTTCTCGGTGCATCTCCACGTGCCAGGCTCGCAACACAGCCTTCCAGGCCGTGTCCAGTGGCCCTGGTCCCTCACATCTCAGCCTCTCCCTTCACCCCCTCTGCCCGTGTGCTCTCCCGGGGGACACTGGTCAAGGTCTGGGGATGCTGCTGATTGGCATGTTGGAAAGCTGCTGCCATCTTGGGGTGGGGCCGAGGATTGGGGTGACTGATCCGAGGGTCCTCAGGGCCCCAAAGGGCCCCAGGGCCAAGGCCGGGACAGCCCTTCGCTCCTTCTCCTCTGTCCACTCCCTTTGTGCACTGCCCAGCGGGTAAGAGATGAACAGGCCACTGCTGGCCACCACACCCTGAAGGGACCCAGGTGTTTCCAGCCTCCACGCTCCCGACACCCTGCCTGAGGACCGCAGCGAGCTGCCTCCACTGGGCAGCTGTGGAAGTAGGCGAAGGAGCCCCGAGGGTGGGTGCAGCCCCAGGCTGGTGGGGAGGGGGATTCCCTTCCCTGTACTCACTTCATGCCTGGCAGCAGCCCGGAAGACAGCGCCTCAGACTGGAACTCCTGCCAGTCCATGTGCCTCAGGCAGGGTAGGGGCCACAACCCGAAGAGCAAAGGATGGCAGGGCCTGGAGCTCAGCGCCCACTGTGTCCGCACAGTGACAGGCACCTGCGGCGTTTACACTAACACATGACACTCTGCCCCTCCATCACGTTTCCCCTGCCTACCCGTGGTGAGGCAGATGGACCCTAAATGTCTGCTGGCCCCATCCTCCCCACAGGTGCCACGAAACAAGAGGTCTTTCATTTCTAAAAGCCCAGAGCCCAGGGGACTGAGCAGAATGCAGCTGCCATGGCCGAGATGGACCATGCTGCAGGTGCAGGGGCTGGGGGCGGACACAGTCACAGCTCCGGAGTCTGAAGGCCACAGGAAGTCACCTCAGAGGCAGGAAAATGCAGCACCAGACAGCGAAGTCACACGATTGATCCCCTTGCCCAGGACTCACTGCTGGGCACCCAAGTCTTCAGAGGGCAGTGTGGGGAGCAGGGAGCTCTGGGGCGCAGGGACAGAGATGTCCTCTGCCACTGTGTAATGGCCCAAGCAGCTGTGAGTGAGCTTTGTAAGGGAGGAAGAAAGGAAATGGTGACTCACGGAGGCACCCGCCCAGCATAGCACAGCCAAGTAACCTCTTTCCTGCACTGCACATCTGAGGTTTTGAAAGCCACTTGCTAATTCCAGTAGAGCAGCATCCTGCAAACCCAGGCCAGGGTCAACAACAACCAGGAAAGGCTGAGACCCGTTGGCCCAGAGTGGCCGGGGGAGCCCCAACACTGTCCTGTCATGGGGTCTCCTGGGGAGAGCCCCAGGACAGAAGGAAGGACTGGGAAAGCCACGGAATCAGAGCCGGCCATAGTCCAGGCCTGCGACCTCAGCACTGGGTGAGCTGAGGCACAAGGACGGCAAGGGAGCGACTTAGACTTAGGGCAGACAAGAGCGGGGGCATCTCGGAGTGAACGCCTGGGTTCCCTCCCCAGTGCTGCCCAATAACATCGATCACTGTTGGATCAGCAACCTCGGCACAGACTGTGCTCAGGCTGCAGGGGGGACCTGCAGCGGCACAGCCCACATGGTCCCAGGTGGACAGAGCGGAGCGTCCACCCTCTTGCTTCTTCTGGCTTGGCAGAGGACTCTCTCAGGCAGGTGCCATCGCTGCAGATGCCCCTTTAGCTCTCGGGGCCACGGCCAAGAAGCCCAGTGTGACTTGAAAGTGTATAAAACGTACTTATACCAAAAATAAACCATTAAAACGCACCCAGCCTGGCACACAGCCAGCCGTGCGACCTGAGCCAGGAGCAGGCCAAGTTCTCCGGCCTGATGCCTGCTGCTCCAGGTGCTGAGTACTTGGGGGGCCCTGCGTGACCCCTGCCCGCTGTGCCCTATGTCAGCAGACAGGGAGGGATGCAGGGCTATTGCCATGGCTGCCAGTCGGTGGCCAGCAAAGGTAAAACTTCACAGCACGGGCTCTGAGCCACACTCCCATCTTATGAGGGCTTCAGCTCCTTGGCTGGGAGGATCAGGCCCTGGACTCACCTTGGGTGCTGCTCCCCAAGCCAGCGCAGGGCTGCCAAGGGCTGAGTCCAGGGCCCAGGTCACTGGGGAGGATTGTGGGTGCACAGGGTCAAACGTGCTCGCTTCTGAGAGAGCAAAACAGCCCAGGTGCACTGAAGACCTCAGACTGCTGCTGAGGGACTCCGAGAAGGCTCTCACTGTTTCATGCCATTTGGCACCCACAGAGGGCAGGTTCTCTTAGGAATGCGAGCTTTACTCTCCGCTTCACACAGCCTACGGGGTCCAGCCACTCTTCAGCCACTCTTGCTGTTGGGTGTTGCTGGGTTTTGAAGCAGGTATTTGGACCGGAAGTGGTGTCCAGCAACTGCTGCGTCCATTACAGGATTCTCCACACCCAGCCACTTCTAATCACCTTCTGCACCCAACTGATGCTCCCAGCACAAACACCTCCACCCAAGATCCCCTCCTCTACTCCCTGTGGGGGATGCGGGAGGCTGTTTTCCTCTGAGAAGAATGTCTCTGGCATCTCAGGAATCCACAGTCTAAGGTCAGATCTGCTCTCTGCCTGAGTCTGTGCCTGTCCTAGGATCCCACAGGCCCTGACATTGCTCTGAGGCTGCATGTCCCAGGCCCTGTGCAGGAGACCACAGGTATTGACACACCATGGTGCGGCCACCCCCGCCCCCAGCTGTGGGGCAACTTCAGTGCCCTCCTCTACAGAATGGGAATCACAGGGCGCTCTCAGGCACGGTTCAGTGTCCAGTGGGTGTGAGGACCCAGGCGGGGGGCATTAGCAGGGTCAGATCCTGTGCCCGCTGGGCAGGAAAGCAGGTAGGCTCTAGCCTATTGCTGGGTTCTTAAGCAGGTATTTGGACTGGAAGTGGAGTCCAGGTGTTTGGTGGGCTTGTTCAGGGAGCCATTGAGGCCGATGGCAGGAGACAGGCTTCTGGTTACAAGAACAAAAACCTGCTCCCGTAAGCACAGGCCCTCATTTATTAGATAGATACCGAGTGTGAATTCTGAGATCTTAAACCACACAGCAAGCACACAGCCCCTGACAGGCAGCAGCTCAGTTTGTTCTAGCTAACAGAAAGCTGTCCCGAAGCCCTGTGGTTTCCTCTCGGAGCCAGCCCCAGGGGTCCTCTTCCTGCGCACCGAGTCTCCCTCCCACCCTGGACCCACGGAACTCAGGCCTCGTGCTGTCATAGTACCAAGGGCCGGAATCCTGAAGCCCCTGCCCCCACGCAGGTCTGCGACCTCAGCAGCCCCACGTGCAGACCACAGCAGCCCCCCGTCCCGGGAATGGAACCGGGGCCCCATTCACCCCACCCCTTCCACACAGCCCTGCAACCTTTCCAACCCCACCTCGCCACACCCTGCACTCACCCAGGGCTCCCTGGCAGATGTCTGTGCGTGTGGCTCCTCCAACAATAAACTGGGGGTCTGCGCAGATCTCCTGGGAACAAGACCCGCAGTTGTGGTCAGCGTCACCCTCAGGGGCTCCGACCCTCCTGACCCAGGGGCACTCTGTGATCTGAGCAGGAGTCTGAGCCGGGGCCTCCGAGGGCCCCGGGTGGGGTGTGCGTGGGTCCTGGCTGCAAAGCTGCTGTTCTGGGAGCCAGGTCAGTGTGTGTCCCCTGGGCTGGGCAGTCACAGCCCTGCCTCCGGCCAGGTCCCCTGCATGCCATGAGTACCCTCTCTGTTCCTGTCTGCAGGGCCAGTGATGCGAGCCTCACCCGACCGCACACACCATGGCTCAAGCCCCACCCCACCCCACCCCCTGGGCCGGAACTGCACTGCCCGTCTCCCTAACACACAGGTATCCGGCAGGGGCTGCGTGTGGCCCCGGGAGCACACGTGTGTCCCATATAGCCCTGCTGGGAGCCCAGGATGGGTGTTACCTGTCCCAAGGTGAGGACTGAGGGAATGGCCCCAGGGTGGGGTCCGTGGCCACAGAGCCTCGGGACGGATTCCAACACCAGGTCTCAGGGCAAAGCGCTCACTGTCAGGTCAGGGTCTCAGCGCACTTTCACGGCCTGCAGGGACCAGCCTCCCACCAGCAGCCTTCCTGCTCTCACAGTCTGCTTCAGTTTTTTAAATTTTATGTTTGTTTGAGGCAAGGTCTCACTATGCAGCTTGAGCTGGCCTCAAACTAAAATCCTCCAGCCTCAGCCTCCCGAGTGCTGGGATTACTGGTGTTACAGGTGTGAACACTACGCTTGGCTTTTTATTTTATTCTATTTTTTGAAACAGGGTTTCCTACACTACCCAGGCTGGTCTTGATCTCCTGGGTTTAGGTGGTCTTCTTGCCTCTGCCTCCAGAGTAGCGGCACCACAGGCACATGCCACCACACCCAGCTGCGCTTCCTGGTTCTGAAGGGCTCCACCCCAAACCACAAGGAAGGGGCGGGCAAATCTGGGCTTATCCTGGCTGGAGTGACCTTGGTTGCAGCCCCACATTTGCTGGGGAGCCTTCAGTAGGTCCCTCTCAGCTTGCACCTAGCGCCGCCTGTTCTGGCTCAGACTCAGAGTCACTTCCAGAAGGGCAAGCGCAAGGCGCGTCCGTCTGTGGGGACAGGACGGTGAAGAAGCCCTTCTGCCGCAGAGGCAGACAAAGCCAGCTCTGCCCAGGCTGCCAGCCAATTGCCTGCGGGCAGAGGGAGCCTCTGCTGTATTGAACCCCACTGCCCTGCTGCAGGAGCTCATCCAGGAGGACCTTTCCACTGAGGTCCAGAAACTTCCTCGTGCCACTGACAGCCTCTCCAGAAAGGTCAAAGTTCAGACTCTGGAGCAGAGACGCTCCAGAGAAGGACTGGCTCAGGGGGACTCAGGCGGGAGAGGGTGGCTGGCCTGGTGCGGGCTCTACCCTGGGTGGGAACCCTGGCTCACCCCATTGTACAGGGCTGTGACAGGGCGACTGACCCTCCCCAGACCTCAGTCTCCCCTCTGTAACCTGCGGATGAGGACAGATGTCCCCACCACAGGGACTGTGTGAGGGTCACCGGAGACGAAGGTCAGCTGTCCTCACAGTGACGGCTGGGCGATCCAGTCCCAGAGCTCGGGGACAGTGGGCCTTGCAGTTCAGCCCTACTTGCCCTGACGCACAGTAGCCAGGAGTGCCGGGTGCGCTAGCCCTGGGTCCTGCGGCCACCTCCCCCAGAACTGTCCGGGCCCTTCCCGGGACTGCAGCTACTTCCACTTGTCCCCATCCTGCCTGAGTCTCTCCGGCTGGTGCAGGGGACACCCTCTCAGGCCGCCACGGGGCAGGGTAGCCACTGCCTGGCCCTGCCCCAGCCGCCCGGCTCTCACTTCCTCTGCCTGCATGCTCAGCCCCTTGCCCTCCAGGGACCAAATGTCCCACCTGTCTGCCAGGCTCTCTGTCTCTCAGCCCCCTCTGGAGCCAGGGCCACGCCCTTCATTTCCCACTTCCAGACTCTGCAGCCCACGGCGGCCTGGCACCTGAGACTCCCTGGCTGAGGTGACTGTGAAAGGGACTTGTGGATGTCCCGGGGCCATGGGGCGGCTGTTCACTGCCTGACCCTGGCACGGAGGGCGGACCCAGGCGTGGCCGAACACCTGTCCAGCTCCCAATGTCCCTCACCTCCCAGGCCTCAGGGCTCGGCCTCAGCAGCAGAGGAAGTGGTGGCACCACTCCTTTCTGGCCTAACCAGCCTCCAGAGTGGCTCCAGGGCTCCCTCCCCACCTTCCGCACCTCTTCAGGATGTGGAGGGTGTTCAGGAAATACCCATCCCGAGTCGCCCATCCTGAGTGAAGAGCAACAGGGCCTGGTAGTACACAGAGAGCCTGAGTTAACACATTCTCTAGCTTGTGTGTCAGTTTCTCCACCAGAGTTGGCTGAAGCACATCACAAGACCACAATCACTCATTCTACAACGAGGACGTCTTTTAGGCTCCTGGTGTCCCCCAAGCATTCAGGACAGCACCTGGCCTGCAGCAGTGCCCGGTGGCTGTCAGGAAGAAACAGGTGCACACAGCGAAAGGACTGTGCTGGCCACTCGGGGCATACGAGGCACATGGAACAGGAGAGCTCCAGAGCCATGCTTGGCTCTCGTGAAGACTCTGGGCCACACAGCAGGGCCTGGCGAGAGTGGCCGGGTAGAGGGGCCGCTAGGAAAGGCCTCTTGAGGGTAGGGGCCAGTGACAAAGTCCCGAAGAATGCGTGTGAGTGAGCGGACTGAAACCTGGAATGCACATGCCTGAGATGTGGGGCCAAGGGGAAGGACCACACCCCGAGCCGGGAGGGGACGTTTAGAGACCATCCCTGCTCGCTGCTGAAGACTGGCCGGTACAAGGGACTTCTCCATGGTCACCTGGTCTGTTGGAAAGAATGAGAGCCAGGCCGGGCAGGGCAGTGCACATCTGCAGTCCCAGCTACTGAGCGGCTGAGGCAGGAGGGTGGAGAGTTTGAGGCCATGCTGTCAACTTAGAAGACCCCATTTCAAAACAAACAAAAAGAATGAGAATCCAGGTGCTGGTGTCCTGGCCTAGGGTGCATCCTACAGTTCTTGCCACCTCAGGGCTGAATTTGGGGTGCAGAGGGTAGAAGGCCGGCAGCGGCTGGGGTCAGGGAGAGAAGAGGCACAGACTGGGAGCAGAGCTGCTCCTTGGCCTGCGCCGGCCCTGGGCCCTTGCGGGCCGCTTCTGTGAGGATAAACAAGAAACTAACTGCTCCTCCGTGATCAGGGACCAGACTGCGAGCACCGGTTCCGTCCGGCAGAGCAGGATCCGGCCGGTCCACGGTATCCCATCTCCCCCTGCACCAGCGGGAGGC